GTTAAACCGGTCGGCGTGGTAGCCAAGGCTCACATAGTCATAGGCCACTAGCGTTAAACCGGTCGGCGTGGTAGCCAAGGCTCATATAGTCATAGGTCACTAGCGTTAAGCCGGTCGGCGTGGTAGCCAAGGCTCACATAGTCATAGGCCACTAGCATTAAGCTGTAAATAAGAACATGATGTGTGGCATGTTGGACGTAGCAACGGTAACTAAGGGGGCAGGTCTTTGCAAAGGGTCAATTACAAGTCTAAATACTGCTTACAAAAATATTTGGTAAAAGCTCAACTTACATCTACTTTTAAATGACAATTATTGGAGGAAGATTTTTTTCCCGCAGTGCACTATGGGAATGGGTGTGCCCCAGTACCGCTGCCTCGAGATCAGCCAATCACGTAACTTGGTACTAGTGAGGTATCCACCAGCGTTCCTCTCCCGGGCTGTCTGGGTAATGGAGTTAAAAGCTTCTACCCGGCTTTGACCTGTGAACTACAGCGGATGAGATGATCCCGATGTGTAACCGGTAAGCTGGTTAACCTCTGCTCTCATGTTTATTAGAGTCTGCGTTCCGTCTTCAGAACAGAGTTCCAGCTCAAATCCAGAGACCGAGCCAACTCTGCGTCCTCCTCACTGCTCTCTGGGATGCCTGTTATTAAGAATACAGAATTAAAAAGTAGTTTTAAAGAAAACTAGTTTATATATCTAATGATAAATGCAAGAAGTGTGATTTTTGTGATTGTTTAGAGTTCCTCTGCAGCACACCGGTGTTAAATTCAGGACTGGATCCTTCACCTAAGGCCCTGTTTAAGGGTCACTTCATGCATTTTTACTCATCAAATAGCAATCTGGTTTGTTAAAAGTTTCATACACTATTGGCCACATAAATGTGTGTCTGAGAAAACATAGCCAAGTGTAAATACAAGTTTGTACGTTTCATTTGGTTTGATACATTTTAAATCTAATCTCTAATCTAATGCAACAGCATTTGTGGGTCAAAATGAATGTTAAGTTAGCAGAAACATAATATTTGCATTCATGTTGGTTGCACAACTTTATACTGAAATTTACAGTTTATACAAAATACAAGACTTTATATGATGTCAATCAGTGTAACCATTAAGAAAAACATATCCTTAAACACTGCATACATGTGAGTGTTTGCGTCTTAATTATTAATTTAAAATATATACAATTATTTCTACTGTCGGAGTAAATGCATATGATTTCTTATGGTTTACCATTTGAAAACCTGAATTACTCTTGCAATGTCATAAAAAATAAATTGAACAAATATTTGTATGTACTATATTTTATATAGAAAACATTATTTATATTTATGTATTTCAAAAAATGTATTGTATTGTTTTGTGTTTGTCTTATCTGGGAAACAAAATCATTACGACTAAACAACCCTGCACTGACTTGGTGGAGAAATTGTTTTCAAATATGAATAACATTTTAAAACAAAAATTACTTTTTATTCCAACAGTATATTACATATAAGAATTTTGGGATTTTGATTCCATTCCAATTTCAGGTTGGATAAAGCTTCTTGATATTTTCTCTAAATCAGAATTTTAAAAAATTTTCTTTCATTATATGAATGAAACATTTTAATGAGCATCATGTCATCGACTTTCATACATTTTTAAGCATGCTATAAGAGTCTAAATACATTTTGGGGCAACTGTACATGAGGCTGAAGAGCTCTTACAGAAATCCTTGATACTGGAGTACGGCATGCTGGGAAATTGTATAATGAGGTGTCTATAGTATATGCGTAAAAACACTGGAAAATAACTAGAGCGTTCCCTGATGCATTCTGTAGATTCTCCTTAAGAAATTCACTCACATACAAAATGTAATGACACTGGTGTCTCTGCTGGATAAAATCCCAATGCATTCTGAATGTACTGCATTAACAAACTAAAGATTTACAGACAGAGATCCTCCCTTCACACACACACACAGAGAAGCATCTTCTCACCTATCACAGTGTCCAGATGTCCGTTGAACTCATTCTTGCCGAAGATCACCACTAGAACCTCGCGCCCGGTGAACACATTGAGGGCCGAGACCTCAGTCAGGCTGTCTGCGCAAGCAGGAGTCAAAGGTCAATCAACCAGCGCTGGTAACTAAGGCTGAATCTGAGATCTCATTAACTGAAATCTGTCCTCTTCCAAAGCCTTTGGGATTCAGTTATTTCAGGGCACAGAGAAGCATCTTCTCACCTATCACAGTGTCCAGATGTCCGTTGAACTCATTCTTGTCGAAGATCACCACTAGAACCTCGCAGCCGGTGAACACATTGAGGGCCGTGACCTCAGTCAGGCTGTCTGCGCAAGCAGGAGTCAAAGGTCAATCAACCAGCGCTGGTAACTAAGGCTGAATCTGAGATCTCATTAACCGAAATCTGTCCTCTTCCAAAGCCTTTGGGATTCAGTTATTTCAGGGTTTGGTGCGAGACCACAAAATCAACAACTAACCACCACAGCCTGGAGAGTTAAAACACACCTACACACCACAAAAACAATATATAAATGCATCTTCATGACATGCATTCATTCTTTACTGTCATCTTCATGTAAGTAACTTTATAAAATATAAGCTAGTGATTCAACAAAATTTCAGCAGTCAAATTTTTTTTTGGCTGAAACAGTTTTCTATTTAGAATATATTTTAAAATGTCATTTATTCCTGCAAGCATAAGAGATTTTTTTAAAAAATCTTAATGATCCCAATCCTTTGACCGGTAGTGTATGCACTATTTTATATACGTATTCATTATATTTTTACGTCATTATTTAATGTATGTTTGAATAAATCTGTCATGAAAACAAATTTTTGTTACAGCCACCATTTAAATGCCTATATTTCAACAACAAATTGAGTAGAAACATAATTCTGTGACATCAAAAAACTGCCTTATGTGAACTTTAAATGTTTATACAACTGTTGATGATTAAATACATTTAATTAATTAATTATTAAATAAACTATTTGCTTTTTTTTGGTTTTGGAAAACTGTAATTTCGGTTTCAGTAAAACATTATTTTGCCGCAAAACTTTAAAAGTGCTGATGGATGTCGAAGATCACCACTAGAACCTCGCAGCCGGTGAACACATTGAGGGCCGTGACCTCAGTCAGGCTGTCTGCGCAAGCAGGAGTCAAAGGTCAATCAACCAGCGCTGGTAACTAAGGCTGAATCTGAGATCTCATTAACCGAAATCTGTCCTCTTCCAAAGCCTTTGGGATTCAGTTATTTCAGGGTTTGGTGCGAGACCACAAAATCAACAACTAACCACCACAGCCTGGAGAGTTAAAACACACCTACACACCACAAAAACAATATATAAATGCATCTTCATGACATGCATTCATTCTTTACTGTCATCTTCATGTAAGTAACTTTATAAAATATAAGCTAGTGATGCAACAAAATTTCAGCAGTCAAATTTTTTTTTGGCTGAAACAGTTTTCTATTTAGAATATATTTTAAAATGTCATTTATTCCTGCAAGCATAAGAGATTTTTTTCAAAAATCTTAATGATCCCAATCCTTTGACCGGTAGTGTATGCACTATTTTATATACGTATTCATTATATTTTTACGTCATTATTTAATGTATGTTTGAATAAATCTGTCATGAAAACAAATTTTTGTTACAGCCACCATTTAAATGCCTATATTTCAACAACAAATTGAGTAGAAACATAATTCTGTGACATCAAAAAACTGCCTTATGTGAACTTTAAATGTTTATACAACTGTTGATGATTAAATACATTTAATTAATTAATTATTAAATAAACTATTTGCTTTTTTTTGGTTTTGGAAAACTGTAATTTCGGTTTCAGTAAAACATTATTTTGCCGCAAAACTTTAAAAGTGCTGATGGAATATGTTTCCCTATTAAACCCTGTTGAGCTCCTTCAGTTTCCATAGATGATGTTCCTGAGAGAATCACTTCTCAAGCATCTAATATCTGTGCCTTCGTGAGTGAGTGAGTGAGTGTGTGTGTGTGTGTGTGTGTGTGTGTGTGTGTGTGTGTGTGTGTGTGTGTGTGAGTGATTCTCACCTCTGCCGGGTCTCAGGGCTCTGAGCAGAGCTGTTTTGAGGGCACTGGAGCATGCAACAGCCGGTGGGAGGGCAGGACTGAGACTTAAGCCACTCCGAACACAGCCTCTGGAGAACAAGTGTAGCAGACAACACCTCTCCTGAGTCACGACCATCCACCTGACAAACAGAAATGCAACAGATACACCGATTCTGGCAAACGGACACTCTCTGTGCTGGAAATCAAATTATGATTTTAATAAGCACAAATATCCTCCCACAACACTGACTCGAAGAAACAAAGCTGGACACACAGCACATGGCCTGCAGCCAAACTCTGAATCAAACCTGATGAATTGCACATGCTCATATGCCAGCATGGAAATTCATCATTTCATAGAAAGCGCTGTGTGAGCGGTTAGCAGTAAATACAGCTCTGAAACAGCTGCGAAGCTGATAAATACCAAATCCTGTCTGAATGCACAAGAGCTGTAAGTGTATTTCATAGATGAAGCATTCAGTACCTTCAATATGTGGTTGAAAAAGCACAATCCAGTTGGCCTGCATGCTTTTGACTCCATACCATTCGGGGAGATCTGCCAAAGCATCAAGAAGAGGCTGCAAGACAAAATAATGTATTAATGAGTATATACATACATACATACATGCATACAATTATACGTGAACATATTTAATTTATCTAAGCATCCAAAAAAGACTGCAAGACATAATTTAGTATTAATAACCAGTAACTAAATAAAATATAAATACATAAATAACATTATATGTGAATACATTTATTTAATTTTATCTAATCTATATTAAATATACAAAAAAAAAAAAAAACCTTGGGGTTGGTACGATTTGAATGTTTTTGAAAGAAGTATCAATGCACAAGAGCTGTAAGTGTATTTCATAAATGAAGCATTCAGTACCTTCAATATGTGGTTGAAAAAGCACAATCCAGTTGGCCTGCATGCTTTTGACTCCATACCATTCGGGGAGATCTGCCAAAGCATCAAGAAGAGGCTGCAAGACAAAATAATGTATTAATGAGTATATACATACATACATACATGCATACAATTATACGTGAACATATTTCATTTATCTAAGCATCCAAAAAAGACTGCAAGACATAATTTAGTATTAATAACCAGTAACTAAATAAAATATAAATACATAAATAACATTATATGTGAATACATTTATTTAATTTTATCTAATCTATATTAAATATACAAAAAAAAAAAAAAACCTTGGGGTTGGTACGATTTGAATGTTTTTGAAAGAAGTATCTTATGTTCACCAAGGCTGCATTTATTGGATACATTAAAAACAGTAAAATTGTGAAATATTGTTACAATTTAAAACGGCTCTTCTCTATTTTAAAATGTAATTTATTCCTGTGATGCAAAGCTGAATTTTCAGCATCATTATCATGTCACATCTTTCGTGTGACATGATCCTTCAGAAATCATTCTAACATGCTGATTTGCTGCTCAAGAAACTTTTCAGATTATTACCAATTTGGAAACCTACATCTTTTTTCACGACTCTTTGATGTCCATAAGAACCACATTTGAAACAGAAATCTTTTGTAGCCCCTCAAACTTTTGTACACGTAAATATATAACTTATTTCTGGTTTGCCGACTAAAATACGTCCAAACAAAGTCTCAGTAGTGGCGTTACTTAACGAATGATTGAATGTTTTTAATAAATTGGTTGAGTGAATAATTCAATGACTCATCGACTTTCTTTACAATCCAGAAGTCTTCAGCAGCGCCCCGTCTGTGGTCACTATTTGCAATAATCTCTCCCAAGCGGTCATGGTTTAGCGTGAATAGCTTATTCCCTGCTGGTAGATGCTGCAACTACATCATTTAGCAGGGAAAAAAACTGAACAAAGCTGTGTGTAGTTTGCAAACTTATGTGGAGTCCTGAGCAACCACCATTGAGATGAATGGGAATGCTAATGGACAACTTCAAGTGTTATAGAATTTCTTGATCTCTCCATGCTAATGTCATGCAACTGTTTTAGCAGAAGACGGTCATTTTACTGGCATAAAACGAGCAACTGCCTTCACATTACGAGTGAAGAACGAGGCTTAAAGAAAACCTTATGAACTGCCCAAAGTCTCAACACATACACAAACTCGGAGTCGGGCTAAAAAAAAGAAACTCTTGGGATGGAGGAAGAAAAGATGAGGCAGACGATGGAAAAGAGGAAGCTATGCATAATAACGAAGGTTCAGGCCAAAAGACTCAGCTGGGCTGCCGAGCACTGAAAGGATGGGATGTGAAAAGCTAACAGTTGGGTTTTGACATCTCACTCCTCTCTTGTCTCTAGCCATTAGCAGTCTCACTCACAAGAGGCTTCGCTCCCGGAGCGCTAAACAAATGGAAAATAATTGTAGGGCCCCAAATGTTGTCCGTTTCCTCGACACTGCACTCATTAGCGACTCGGACGCACTCGCAGGATGGAAATTTCACACTTGCACGAAGAGGCGGAAGGGTGTAGAGATGCGGCCGTCTCATTTGAGAGCGTTCCAATCACGGTATTCTAATCTTCAACTCATTTGAGCAGAGCGCTCTACAAAATGAGTTCTGAACAGGACAATGCGAGCAATTTTTGAAATGCGTAAAGGTCATGAGTGTCATTCTTTCAGCTGAAACACTTTACTATACGTATACGTAAGCCAGTAGATTGACTTCTTGGAGTGTGTAAACACTTTGTCGGTTTTAAAACATTGCTCTGGTGAACCTCATGTGTTTAGTAGCGTGTCAGTCCTCTTCCATCCTTATTAATTGCTTTCAGACCTTCAACAGAAGAGGACAAGACTTCATCAAAAACACTCTATAGGAGTGACCAGGGCCAAAAATTTACTTTCCTATTAAAGGGGTAATATTTGCCCCTTAGAAGTGATTTCTGGGAGCATTTCTTTAACAGAATTGACCTTATTAAATGCATGTATGGTATATTTTATGTCAAACACTTAAATTAAACAAACTACTTCAATAAATCAGAATAGTAATACTATAGACTGCTACCAACCAAATTTTATCAACAAAAGCCATCTTGGTGGAACAGAACCTGCATCTGGCATGGCATTTCTGTTTATTTTAGGGCTGTCAATTTAGCGCGTTAATTTGGTGTGATTGATTATGAAAAAATTATGTGTTCAAATTATTGCGTTTACTGCTCCACCCAGATCTCCACCCTACAAAGTATTCTCATAGCTTTGTAAAATTACGGTTGATGTCACATGGATTATTTTAACGTCCTTCGTTAAATCATGTCCTTCGATCATGTCCTTGCTTTGTTTGTGAGCCTTGATCGTGGTAGGACCCTTGCTGTCTATGGGAGGGTCAGAGAGCTCTCGGAATTCATCCAAGATATCTCAAGTAGTGTTCCGAAGATGAACGAAGGTTTTACAGGTTTGGAACGACACGAGGGTGAGTAATTAATGACAGAATTTTCATTTTTAAAGGTTTAAAGGAGGCATTTGAGAACCACTGCATTAATCTCCCAGCATTACTTATGTAATTCTATTTGTACTGCAGTGTAAATGCATTCATGCCTCCTCTGAACAATCTATGTAAATATACCTAAATGCCACAGATGCAGCTCCTGAAAACAATGTTATGGCCACACTGAAGCCTTAAAAGTTCATGTGCAATAAATTCTGTTGAATAAAAATATTATTCTCAAGTTACTTTTATTGTAATGTCTATTCAACACTTTTCTAATATAATACAATAATGACTTTATCAAACCGTTTAAGAATTAGTATTAAGCTTTTTATGCATTAGAAAATCAAGATTTCACACTGGTTATTTTATTAGCATTAAAAACAAACGGTAATTCAAACTGAGAATAAATCATACATAGACCGAGAGCAAAGAATGTTCCATGACTTCAGTCTAGCACGAGTCCTGCACTCTCACAAAAAATCCCGTTATAATCACTGATGCCCATCTAAATCTAATGCCGCAATTGACACTTTTCAATAATTTTTACATTTCACTTTAATTGTGACTTCCATAATAGATTCAGATTAATTGTGCCTATTTTTTGCCCTCTTATCTTGAATTTGGGGGACATTTTGGTGGCATTTTTTGCCCCAGGCCCCCATTCATTTCCGACCCTGGTTGTGGCAACCCTACCAAAAGTTTGCTAGTAGATATACAACCTGAAAAATACTCATTCTAATATTTCTAGAAAAACATCATAAGCCAAGTTCAAACCGAAATTAAAGGGGTCATATGATGCAATTTAAATTTTTCCTTTCTCTTTGGAGTGTTACAAGCTCTTGGTGCATAAAGAAGATCTGTAAAGTTGCAAAGACTAAAGTCTCAAATCCAAAGAGATATTCTTTATAAAAGTTAAGAGTCAACCACGCCTACCTAAAACGCCTCGTTCTAACACACCCCCACATGTCTACGTCACGATGTGGGAAGATTTGCATAACGCCGCCCAAATGTTCAAAAATCGACGTGTTTCAGAAAGGCGGGGCATAGAGGAGAAACAATAATGTACAGTATGTGGAAAAGAATGTGTTTTTTGAACTTTAAACCGCATAAACACATTTCATTACACCAAATAATGTTATTTTTAACAACATCATGTGACCCCTTTAAAACCACTATTCACATTAAGAACTATTCACTAATGTAATTGTGCTTTGGTTTCTCACAGCCTGTAATGCAGGAGAGGATTTTATCAGCCAAACAGGCCTGCCAGCATTCAGTCTGCAAACATGCTTAGATCTGACTTGGACACACTGCGAGGTGTAAGAGGCAAACAAAACGCTCAAAGAGCCAAGAACGGCAGAAGAGCCAAACCAAAGGCTACATTTCTCTATTCAAACCTGTCCATGTTTTCAAAAAGAAAAAAACGTGGTTCAACAAGGCTATAGAGAACATTTCTGAAACCATATAGAGAGTCTCCATGGCAACGCACAAATCTATGAAACAGTGGAAAAAGTGATGCAAGGTAGCAAGTGTTTGGTGATCTGTTAGGAGACAAAACTATTTGCATAAATTTTGCATGACGGGGTATCGCGAAGGTGTTCTGGGTGGTTGTTTATTAACCTACATTATATAGCAAGTCTCTATGAAGCGCCCTCCTTCCATGTACACTGCTGAAGTTACTAAGATTTTGTTTTGTAAATTAATTAATTCATTTGTTCAACAAGGATGCATTGAATAATGTGACCGTAAAAGACATTTAAAGTGATAAAAAAAAATGTATATATATACCTGTGTATATATATATATATATATATATATAACGTGAGGAAAGTCAGATACAAACAAACAAATAAACAATAAATCTCAGTCAGACCCCTTTTGACCCCATTAGGAGACCCCCAAATAATCCTTTCAAACCAGTTCAGCCCCCAACAAACCTTTTCAGATCCAATGAAACCTCATCAGATCACTAAGAAACCATTTCTTTCTAAGCACTGTTAGCATGTTTCTAACAGTTAGCATTTCTTAATTGTTGTGTTAACATGTGGCAAGCATGATTTAGCATATTTTAACTCATTGCTAGCATGTTTTTATCATTCTAACATATTGCTTGTGTGTTTGTGCACACTTGGCAAATAAAGCTCATTCTTATTCTGATTCGTGATGTTACAGCATGTTTTAGCACATTGTAAGCATGTTTCTAATATTTTAGCATGTTTTAGCACATTGCAAGCATTTCTTACATGTTGCAGAAATACTTCAGCATAGCCATCAATCCGATTTTATTCAAAAACTTCACTTTTATTAGTCTTAGGTAATGTTAATTGCAACGTTTATTATTAAAATCACATGCGCAACCTTATACTGTCAATAGATACATTATATACATTAGATATCCACTATTCGCCACTTACTCTAAATGTAATAAAATCTGAATAATATTGCGTTTTGGTGTTTACATAGTTATTTTTGGTTTCTGATGTTTTAATCATGTTACTTGTCTGGCGTTAATGAAGCGTTAATGTCAAGCCCTGGAGTCTATAAGTGCCTCAG